TTCCTCCGGCTGCAGTTCCGCAGACGGCCGGTGTGTGGCAGCATAGCGCTGGGGAGCAGAGGGAGGTGAGTATATGACGGATATGACGGATGACGGATGCGACGGAAATACACCCGAACATATCTGGTAGGCCGAACATATCTGGTACTGACACCGGCTCGCCTCGAAAGTAGACGAGAATAGCCGATCGCAGCCGGGGGAGGTCTCAAAAAACTCGCCTGAAGTCGGACAGCTCGGAGTCCATGCTCGGAGTCGGCTTCGTCTTCTTCTTCTTCTCTCGGTTTTTTGGCGGATTGCAAACAACTTTAAGGTGCATACCGCCACCTCCGGAGTCGGCTTGCCTCGGTTTGCATTTATAAAGAATGCACACATGTGTTTAATCGTTAATGTCAGATATGTACTAAGTAAATACATTTGTTCCTGCTCAAGATTAGATTCAACTTTATTGTTGTTGCACATATTACAGGTACTGAGACAACGAAATGCAGTTTAGCTTCTAACCAGGTGCAACCAGCAGTAAAGTGAAAAGTAATGTACACAATCTACAGAATAAAATATAGAATGAATTGAATGATGAATAAACAGTGAGGGGTATGAATACACTAGATATACACAGCAGCCTGAGAGCAGTATGAACAGTGTGTATGAATATGCTAAGATATATAAAGTATGAAAACGGTAAGCAGTGCAAGTATAGTATAAAATATATAGATATTAATTTCATGATGATAAACATTGTGGAACAATGATGAAAAATGGGAATGGATGTGGCGACATAAAACTGACACAAAACAACAACAAACTTTTGCCAGCCAATTGGAGAGTTTCATCAGCAGCACGTGGTAAAAACCACCAATGAGCGCTCAGCTCGAGATACAGCGAGCCGTTTCCCATCAAGCATTTCGCTTCCGCAGCCCGTGGAGAGCAACTGCGCCAACTCGCCTCGCCTCGCTCTCAAGGCTGCGGGCGTCTTTGTCCCGCGAAATTTCAAAGTCTCATGTAGGCGAGCCTCCAGAGCAAGTCGGACAAAATGACTAACCATCATGCAACGCACTAGCAAGACGTTGATCGCAACTGCGCAGGTCTTGCTTGTCTCAAACAAGCCTACTGTGTTGTCATGCGTAGAAATGGTGAATTACTGAGTTTAGGCACGTTAATAACGTTTTAATGAAGTTGACTACAGTATATTCATATTTGTCAGTGCTTTCATGTCAATTCGGCGAACATAAACATACATGATCGTGGTGAAGATGATGATTAAATTAGGATTACAAATCGGTAGTGAGAGCTGCTGAATTTCCTCCCGTGGGATGTGATATAAAAACAAATCGATTATTTTTGTAGTTGTAAACTCAAGTGGATGAAACTACATGTATTAGTGCTTTCATGTCAATTCGGCGAACATATGATAGATTAAATGATCGTGAGGATGATGATTAAAAATCGTTTGCTTGTGCCGGTCTGCATTTCCTGATGAGAAAACAAACCGATGCTTTTTGAAGTTGTACACCAACATGGATTAAACGTGTGGTTTTTTTACCACAATGTTGGGGAAATTAATGGATAAAATGCACGGATTATTATTATTATTATTATTCCCACTCCGATCGGGACACTAGGTCCACCGTTTCCCCGCAGCGAGGCTCCCCCCGTTGACAGTTTACGTGGGCTGGGTGCAGTCGCGGACTGGCCATCGGGACGAATCCCGATGGGCCGGTACCGAAGTGGGCCGGTCGGATAAGTCACTAGCACATCCCCCATAGGCGGCGCGTGAGGCTCAGGTTTGGGAAGACTAAATAACTTTTTTTACCTGACGCTGCCCGCCTCCGGCGTCTATAGAAAAGAGATCAACTCAGTGTGCGGAGTTTAAATCTCTCAAGTCATATTACAGGATAAAGGAAATACAGTTTAAACTGCCGTAGGCCTATGCAGAGAAGACGTCGACGTGTCGCACTTATCATTCATATTACATCATCAATCAGATCATCGATCATATAATATCATAATATATCATATATTTCCTTATCTGCCGTGTCTGGCCTTGCAACACTTACAGTGTCACATACTGTATGCAGAAGTATTATTTTAAGCAACACATTATGTTGACGAAACACTCGAGTCAAATGTAATTAAAGTCAGATCCACTCGTGTCTTAGATGTGAACGCGCTCTCAGCTGGTGAGAGAAACCCTGGCTTGATTTACCGAGTTGATAACCAGCGTCGTAGGACCGCTTAGCGAGATCTCGTTTGTTAGTTTGTTGTTGTTAGTTAGTTTGTTACTCAAACATATCCAGGGTCTGTTGAACTGGCTTCGTAGTACAGGGCACAGGTGGCTAGCAGCGCTAATGTCAAAGACACACACATTGCATTATATTTGTATTTTACCAGGATGCAGTGACACAAATATTTACATTTACTATCTACAGCACCCGCCGCCCCTGACATCCCCACTCCCCTCGTTGACAACTTACTAGCGGTACCGAAGTGGGCCGGTCGAGAGTCCCGGGATGATTTTTAGTCCCAGTCCACCACTAGCTACATGACTGTATGATCGCCCATATTGACGCACCTAATTCCTAAACTTCTAATAGATACAACATAAAGCGATCCTTCAGCCTCATATGAGCTCTCAGACACGTTCAACATTAAACTGTCATCGCTGTCTGAGCTTGCTGCTGTGTGCACCATCGTGCGTTTACATGCAGATGCTGGGATCCTGAACGGTGCAGCTGGAGCGCTGTGCCCGCAATGACGTCACACGTAATTTGGCGGGACTTGAAGAATCCCCGAGAAGATCCAGGAAATGGTCAACATTGAAGGGCAGATTAATGGTTATCAAAGTACAAATATCCAAAATCAGTTCAATAACGGTTTTCAAGGGGACAATATTTACTCAAATTGATGTGTTTGGATGATGGGGGAAACTCGTGTCACAGGCTCTTTAAGTAAAAGTACAAAAGTAGTACAATCAAAATGTAAACAAAGTTAGTACTCGTTATGCAGAGTATATTTCAAAGTATATTTGTTATTATGTTTTTAAATGTATTCTGTTTTCATACTTGTGAGAGCAATTTAGTGGTGTAGTTTGTCAAAATTGACCAAATTTAGATAGAATAGAATAGTACTACATTATAACATATGCTGTATCATATCTTTTTATATGTACAAAGTATCTACTCATTTAATAGGAATGTAGTGTAGTACAAAGTACAATATTCACCTCTGAAATGTAGTGGAGTAGAAGTAAAAAGTAACCTTAAATGTAAATACTGAAGTAAAACATGTCAAAAAAGTTCTTAAAGGTCCCATGTCATGTTTTTCCGGTTATTACCCGTCCCCTTGTGTGTTATGAAGGTTGTTCTGCATGTAAACGGTCTGCAGAGTCAAAAACCCTCAAAGTACACCCTGTAGGGAGTAAAACTCTAACACAGAGAAGACCTGTCTGTGCTGCCCCAGAACGCCTCATTGGAGATTTCTCTTTCTCTTCCTGGGTACAGTGACATGACCATACCCAATGGACCTCCGTGGAGCCACACACACACACACACACACACACACACACACACACACACACACACACACACACACACACACACACACACACACACACACACACACACACACACACACACACACACACACACACACACACACACACACACACACACACACACACACACACACACACACACACACACACACACACACACACACACACACACACACACACACACACACACACACACACACACACACACACACACACACACACACACACACACACACACACACACACACACACACACACACACACACACACACACACACACACACACACACACACACACACACACACACACAACTGTGACGCGCTGAGGGTGCTAGTGGAGCCTCGCAGCGGAGGCGCAACGTCCCGCCAACACGGCACCCAGACCTCACGCAGCATTCTCATCTGTTTGTCATTACTGGTGTCATGTTCTGGTTGCTAACGCCATTGTAACACATAATCACTGATGTTCCGCTGTAACGGTGGTGGACTCATCAGAACACAGTGGGCGAGCTGACCAATCAGAGCACAGTGGGCTCATAGGGAGGGGGGGGGGGCAGGAGCTCCAACAAGCCGTGTAGGACAGAGTGAATACACATACTAAGAGATGCTGTGTGAGAAACCAATGTGAGTTTGGAACATTGAACAATGTAAATCTATTCTAGTAGACCTCAACAATGGAATTATGATCAGTAGAAATGGCCATGACATGGGACCTTTAAGTACAGTACTTGAGTAAACGTACTTAGTTACTTTCCATCATTGGTTCAGGGTTAGGGTTAGTCTGTTGTTTGTTTAGAGTTGACCAAATCAAGTTTGAGCGGAGTTTGGTTGTACGCAGTCAAACAGACTGTGTGAAGAGCAGAAGTGGCAGATCATTGGTCCTCATGTAATCCCAGAACACATCGAGTGTTGTCTGACAACATTTATTAGTTAACAATAGCTTAACTGGCTACCTTCTTCTCTCTCCACTCCAACTCCAGTCCCGTTTCTCAAGTTGACTGTCAACAACAGGCAGCACACAGAGGAGGAAGTCGTGGAAACCGGCTGGCAACACTGGAGCCCCAGAACGGCAGCCCTTTCACCTCAGAGTCTTTCGGAGTCAGATTGACAGCCGAAGAGTTCACACATTTTCATGAGGATGTGATTACTTTGATGATTTCCTGCCTTTTCCTTAAACATCATAACACTTTGATTTTTGACCAAATACCTGCTAAACGAATTGTGATTCCATTGAAGCTTTGATGGTTGGATACCTGTTCCTAATCAGTAGACACATGTCTGTTTTTACGTTCAAATGGATGAGTTTGGCTTCAGTTCAGTCTCACAGGGCCATGCTAGTTCAAAGACTAAGATGATGTTACCATCATACTGACTCCAAGACTAAGCAGTATAATGCAGTGTTGTAATTATATGTTGTGTTTATTTTACAGTTTAATTATGAGTGGAAGGGCACAGTTGAAATCATTTTATTACAATGTCTTTAAAAAATAAAAATAAAACATCAATTTATTATAAAAAAGACAGAAGTACTTCTGCTCATTGCAGTCAGAATGTGTTGATATTTCTCTCACCATTAACTGCTACATTTAGTGTTTCTTTAAAAAAATTACCCGCATCTCATAAAAAGCCTGCAGTTGGTTAGTTTTACAAAAATATGAACCGTAGATTCACAGACAAAACGTATTTTTATCTGACAATAGCTAGACACAGACTCCAATGTTTCAATTGTGTGAAGGCACAATCATTCATATTGAATGAGTCTTTATTTTGAAATTAGGTCTGTGTTTTATATCAGAGTCTGGTTGAATATTAGAGCATTATTTTTTCTCGGCTCACTTTTTTGTGATATTTAGATTGAATCTAAATATCACCTTTTGATCACTGTGACCACTTAATGCCGTGTTAATAGTACCATGTTGTAAAGCAGCATCTTAACCTCACCCAACACTGTACACGTGATGTGAACTGGCCTGGAAATAACCCTGACTCTACAGCTTGGTGCTGTGGGGGGGCGCTGACAGACCGTCTGCAGCAGCATCCCAGGTGGGACTGTCTGTGTTTGTGGTCTGGTCTGGGTCAGTTGGCTCCTCAGAGGCCGACAGCAGTCTGTTTTTGGCGAGGTACTGGCTGCAGGAAGAGAAGGTGTGGTAGAAAGTGGAGGAGAGGCCGGCAATGTCCGTGGATATGTAGGGAATAACCTCTGGAGACGCCTGGTTATAGTAACTGACCTGGAGAAAGATACACATACATGGTTAGGTGTTCCATTATATCTACACTGAACACAAATATAAAGGCAACTCTTTTGTTTTTGCTCCCATTTTTCATGAGCTGAAATCAATGTACACAAAGGGCCTCTTTCTCTCAAATATTGTTTACACATTTTTATAAATCTGTGTTAGTGAGCACTCTTCCTTTGCCGAGATAATCCATCCACCTCACAGGTGTGGCATATCAAGATGCTGATCAGACAGCAGGATTATTGCACAGGTGTGCCTCAGGCTGCTCACAGTAAAAGGCCACTGGATGGATTAACTCAGCAAAGGAGAAGTGCTCAGATTTAGACACATTTGTGAACAATATTTGAGAGAAAGAGGCCTTTTGTGTAAGAAAAAGTCTTAGATAGAAAACTGGGAGCCAAACATTTTATATTTCTATCAGTTTATTTACCCATGACTAACCATATTAAACCAGTATTTGTCTCACCAGGGACATGTTGTCTTTAATCTCCAGGATGGTAAAGCCAGCACACAGAACCTCTCCTCTGTTATATCCTTCAGTGGGGGGGTGAGTGGGCAGGGACACTGAGCGCAGTGCGATGACGTATGGGTCTCTGAGGGGAAAAACACAAAAAACTGTTGGAGTGATCTTAGCCAGGACCTCCTTCTTAACACTTTAACTATTTAGCCTCCTTGTTTCTCTTTGGTTGACCTAGGACTAGGTGAAGGAAGATTAACCACCTCCACTATTCTTTGTTGAAACCCTTTTTCGCATACCTTTCCTTACAGGTGTCCATGGTCGCGTTCCCTGCAATACTTTGACCTAAACTTGTCCATTTTCCTATCGTTATTTCTTACCCCATTAACAGAGAATTTTGTTAAGCTGAACCTACTAAAGGTGGCCTTTTCGTTTAACCTTGACATTCTTAATTCCAGTTTGTGAAGCCTTGTTTTTTTAAAGGAATGGTATGCTCATGACACTCATTTTTAAATAATTATCATCCGATAAAACAGACCAGTCTCTGCCAGTCTTTTTTTTTTTTTTTTAATCCGATGACATTATCAGTGATTTTAAACTGATTAATTACCGAAATAACATCAACACTGTGGGCGGCGACATTTTACCGGACGTGACGTAAACCATGCGTTTGGTTTCGAGGACACGTTGATGTTCATGTTATTTACTGTAGTTACTCTCTTCAAATATGCCTCATTGTATTGCGAAACATTGCCACAATTCTGATAGGAACAATCCACGGAATGCCCGGTTCCATCTGTTGCCAAAAGGTAAGCGTAGGAAGTACGTTCGGAGGCAGTGGCTAGCGAAATGTGGCCGGCCCGAACCGAAAGATCCACAGGCGCATGTATGCAGCGAACATTTCAAGTTTCCGGACGACTACTCTGAGAGTATGATAAAACATAACATGGGATTTATTGAACAACCATTACTTAATGGAGATGCAGTACCATCGGTCTTTCTGGTGTCATCACCGACCAGGACACCAGTTCGGCCAGTTGAGAAATCTCCCTCTGCAAGTGTGAAGCGACAGAGGACCAGAAGTAGTGCTCGGAGTAAGAATAAGGTATGTTATGGCGCATTTCCATTGCAGCGGGTAGCCCCATTTAAACGTCCTTTATCGTCCAGGCCAGGCCAGTTTTTGGTGGCCTTTCCATATAGCGTAGTACCGGCTAGTGGGTATTTTCCCCCAGTTTTTCCGGCCCCATAAAATCGTGGTTCTAGGGCCAGGGACAACGAGGCTGAGTATGCTAAACTAGAGAGGGAATCGCTAGCAAGGGTGGTACTACATGCATACATATCTAGTAATCAAAATCATTGTATCTACTAAGTAGTACTAAGTAGGCTCGAACCTGTATGGCTGAATTCCCCCATCCAATCTCTTCATATTGCTCAAAAGTTCTTCCTCGGCTGACGAGTCCGAACTCAAATACTCCATGTTTTCGTGTGTTTACAAAGTGAACGCATGAATGACGTCACGACCATCACGTGACTACTGAAAATGGGCAAAATGGCAGCGGCCTGACGGAATATACAGGTTTTGATAAAAAAGAGCTATAAAATCATTATTTACCGGGGAATATCGCTGATTTCTTCAGGGTATGGTTTAAACATAATGTTTCACTAAATACTGAAGTTTTGATTAATTATCTAATGACTGGAGCATTCCTTTAACCTAGTACACACACAATATGCTCTAAACATTAAATACCATAATGATCCTATTCTGATTACTTTACTACTACATTATATAACAATATATTTCGTGCAAGATATCCTACAACAACAAAGTGACAGTAAATTCTGAAAGATAAGGGGTATGTGACCTTTGACCTCTCATTTAGCCATTCAGTGTACTGACCCGCTGCCACACGGCTTCCTCTTGGAAGCCAACAAGATGAAGTCTTGAATCCCTTCTGGTTGGGCTGAAGTCGGGGAACCCACCCCCCCCTGACGCACTGAGGGGGTCACCACTCGATACAGGAAGTCATCATCATCCACCCGGTATATCAGCTCACAATTCCTGATGTAGGGAAGGACAGAGAGGGGGATGGGAAATAATAATGACTATATTGTTAAAGTCATTGTAATATCATTTTATATTTATTCATTATTTTGCCAAGAGTTACATTTAAAAATGAATATCATGTCACTATGATAAACTTGAAGCTATAGCCACTCTCCTTTAGCAAAGCATAGCATAATGACTGGAGTTGGGTGCAAACAGCTAGCCTGACTTTATACCAAGGTACAAAACTAACATACCAGCCCCTGAAAAAGTTCAATGATTATCCATGCAAAAAGGGTTTTTGTATGCCACACAGCACTTAACTCTTTCTTAAAAATAATTAAGATTCATTTAAAGTAAAATGTTGTTTTGTTGGAGAGTATAACCTTGACGTGGTCCCTGAACCTTTTTAAAGATGACATATTCTGCTAATTCTCAGGTGTATATCAGCATGTAGTGTCTCTACTTTAAAGAGTCCTCTCCTGCTGATGTTCAGGTGTATATCAGCATGTAGTGTCTCTACTTTAAAGAGTCCTCTCCTGCTGATGTGCAGGTGTATATCAGTATGTAGTGTCTTGTGTCTCTACTTTAAAGAGTTCTCTCCTGCTGATGTTCAGGTGTATATCAGTATGTAGTGTCTCTACTTTAAAGAGTCCTCTCCTGCTGATGTTCAGGTGTATATCAGTATGTAGTGTCTCTACTTTAAAGAGTCCTCTCCTGCTGATGTTCAGGTGTATTTCAGTATGTAGTGTCTCTACTTTAAAGAGTCCTCTCCTGCTGATGTTCAGGTGTATATCAGTATGTAGTGTCTCTACTTTAAAGAGTCCTCTCCTGCTTCTGTTCAGGTGTATATCAGTGTGTGTGTGTGTGTGTGTGTGTGTGTGTGTGTGTGTGTGTGTGTGTGTGTGTGTGTGTGTGTGTGTGTGTGTGTGTGTGTGTGTGTGTGTGTGTGTGTGTGTGTGTGTGTGTGTGTGTGTGTGTGTGTGTGTTCCAGTGCCTCTCTGACTCTGGTGAGTGTGCGTGCGTGCGTACTGATAATGTGGGTCCCAGCTGGGCCGGTCGCTGAGCTCTGCCAGCAGCCTGAAGGCTCTGTGAGCAGGAACATCCACCTCTGACTCCACCCTGAAACTCAGCATGGACTTATGCTCCAGGGTGAACAGACGGACCTGAACACAGATCAACCTGTGATCAGACAAACAGCTCCTCATTGGGGGACAGCAAAAGATCATTCTTGTAAATGAAACAGAACAACTCAGGTACCTTGTCTTTCTCAGAGCTGAGGCGCCAGTTTTTTCTAGCAGCCAACATCTTCAGAGCGGAAACATTGTTATAGCTCAGATACACCTGGACACACACACACACACACACACACATAAATATTCTATATGTGTTTACAGAATGTTTTCCCTATTTTCCGACAGCTATTAATAGTAATTGATATAGAACAGTACAGTATGAAATTCAACCTGCAGATCATTTCTCACAGTCAACATAAGGTCTGTTTGTTAAGGTAGAATGCAGATGATGAAGTCTAGAAGTGTCCATTTTAATGTCGTATTTTAACATGCAATGAAACAATACAATTCCTAATGAAAGCATCAAATATTATCTGAATAAATGTGCCTTGTGCTTGATCGGTAGACTGTCAGTCAAAAGCAAGGTACATGAATTTAAACGCGCACATGCTTTTAACTTGTTCAGTAAGCCTAGTAATAAAAAGCTACATTTTATAAATGGAAAACTTGTGTGGCCCTTGGATCATGAATCATTAATACCGCTCTCTCAAAAGCTCCAAGACCTTTGATCCTGATGTCCGTTGTTATCAGTGTGTTCTGTCTCCTCTGAATGTAGATGAAGCAGCTGTTGCTAAAACTGATCTCTATAGTACACCATGTGCATATGCTTCCGAGAGTATTCTAATTGATTTTGTATAATTTAAAGTGTGTATTCTTAGATACTCTTCTGAATATATGTATTTTCTATTGTGAATATGTATATATTTGTTTTTAATGTTTATTTAATTTAATTTGTATTCTATTTTTAACAAATGTTGTAATCCTTGTACAATGACTGTCATGATCTATCTATGTATTTATCTAACAACCACAAAGAGGATACTGAATCAGTACACGACAGCTGGATGGAAGATTTCAAAGGTCTTATTAACGGTCCATTTGATCTTATCTGTCTCTATGAAAAACATCACACATGTGAAATGCATTTCCATTGAATTCAAATTGAAAATGATTATTATTAAATTTTTGTCTTTAACAACTGAATTGTTTTTCATTATAAAAGAAATATTCTCTATGCCAGAATATATTCAACAGAGAATTGTGCCCTGACAGTGTTTGTTTAACCTCATGCTGCACAACCCTAAAAACACTGCCATCAGTCTTCACTGTGTTTAGGTGTACTTAACACTAGAACCGCCAGAGATACCTTTATACCTAAAACCGCCACTGGGGTCAAATTGACCCAGCATGAATGCATTGATTTTCAAAGTAAAAGTATTGCTTTAAAAAGAAAAATGGTCCTGTGGTATTGGTATTTTGTTAAATTGTTTCGTTTATTAACGCTACAATATAGCGTTTCGTGAGGCGGTTGTCGTTGTTGGGTGAAAAGCAAACAGCTGTTTGCTGCGGAGCCCAGCGCAAGCAGTCTCCCGTGAGCGGGAGCGCGCTCCTTCAGTACAGACTGTCGCTATCAATCTATCTCTCTCTCTCTCTCTCAATCTATCTCTCAATCTATAAGGAACCGCAGTAGACAAAAGGCGTTGCTATAGCAACACGTCATGTTTGTTTACACACAAAATCAATAGCGCGACAAGGAGTGGGGTCAATATGACCCGCTTGGCGGAAATAGGTATAAATGGCAATTATTTTGCCGATTTCTTCAATCTGACTTCATATTGACCATTTTTAACAACATAGGGTGCTACATAACACACTTTCAGGAAAATTCACGGACTGGGAGACTTTAATATGTTATTGAAAAAAGTTACATACAATAAAAAAACAGCTCTGGGTCAAATTGACCCCGTTGGCGGTTCTAGTGTTTGAGCAGGCTTCACCATAGAAAGCTGTTTCAATAAAAGGCTGTCCGGCGTTGTGATTGGACAGTTGATTATTGTTCCCATTGGTATCAACGATGCATGTAGCTTTTTGAAAGAACAAATCCTCAGCACCTCTTCATTAAACTGATAAGAGTTCTTTGGATCCAGTGACACTGCTCTCTGCTGAACACTTCACCTCTGCTTGGTTTTCTATGTGATTACATTTAATGTGGTATGTAACAATACTTAACAGCTCATTCAGTTATACAAACAACTTTGTCATAAAAATGTCACATCACATGTATATTAGTTCACTTTATCTTGTTTGTATTTGTTTTTCTTACGGCACTTCTTGTCCATAAAGCTACATTCATGCAAACTCCTTTGAAAGACATCATGATCTGTCTGTTCTGGGTCTGAATATTTCGATGCAGGTTGAATGTTCAGAAGCTAGGGTTAGGGTTAGGGTTAGGCTAACCCTAACCCTCTCTGTCATGTTCTGCTGACTAACGGTTATTTTGTGGGGGAATAAAACGTTCCCAGAGAAAGACCATACTGGTGATCCAATAGTGACGTTGTTGACCAGTTAGTGGAGGTCAATAAACAATAAGCTGTGCCGTCTCAAAGTACAGCCAGCAAGCTGGTGCTGTTTTCTGGCCCTCTCTCTCTCTGAGCACCCATTCATCTCCAGCTGTGTACATGTGTGTTGATCTGTATTGCATGTGTAACTGATCACAGCACATGTCTTTGTTGCTGATCCTCCTGAGTGGTTCTGATCACTCACCTGGTTTCTGGGGTCCCAGGGCACAGACAGAGGGACCTCGCCCTGCTTCTGGGAAATGATGTACTTTCTGAAACAACAAGAAGGGAGAAATAAGAAGAAGACATTTCTACAAACACTGTCAGAGTACGTGCTCTTAACAGGAACACAAATATTTGACCTGTCCAGTCTGATCTTCTTCCTGGCTATGGCCTCTTGAAACCTCCTCTCCCCTTCCTGTGAGTGAAAGACACATTCTTTTTAATTTAACAACTAAATTCCTCTATCCATCTTCTCATGGACATCCTCCTTTCATATTTAGGCTCAAAGTAGGCATGAGCCTATTGTTTTTTATGAAGAGGCTTTGTGTATTATTTTAGACATATTATCGTCAAAAGGGGTCATTTACTTTAGAGGCTTCTATCTTTTATGGGTCAAACTCAACATTTACTACATTTCCAAAGACATCGTTAGACGATGACATCATCAAGCTTTTGTCTTCTAAGTTGCTTCGTACTTGATTGTTTTTTTGTAGTTATGATTATGAGCATTAAATGATCCCACAAAGCTCGGGATACATAAAAATAAGTGCACAAAGTTAACCTTCTTGCCTGGACATTGAATATTGTCCTGTGCTTACTGTTGCCCCAGAAGCAGTTTATTTTGAGTTCAATTTCCTGTTTTATTTCTTAATGATTTAGACCAGTGGTTCTCAAACTTTTTTCACTCATGTACCCCCTTTGAAAAAAAAATCAGCCAAGTACCCCCTGATCAGTGCAAAAACTATTTGTTAAGGACAAAATGCCTATATAAAGAGGTACAGTACAGCGCTGCACCATCAGTGTCTGATTTATTAAAACAACAACATTGTAACTGAGAAACACCTAAATGCTACATTTCAAATGTTTACAATCCATCACTAAATTCATGGCAAACCAATTTTAACATCATGCAATAACACTAAGACGACATTAGTTGCATTGAACTGATCTTTTTAATAAGTTGTACTTACAATGTAGTGAAAAACATGGGCTTGTGCTTCACTGAGGATCTTTGTCATTCTGACAGGGAGGCAAACTGCAGTTATTACACTTCACGTTTTGGAATATGTGTAACTCTGTTCATATAAAACCCACTCTGCTCAAACTTCGTTACTTTTCCTAAAATTATATATAAATATATGAGCATTTTATCAGCATGGGATTTTGACCCCTCATATAAACATATGCATAATGCTGCGCTATACTTTGCGGCCACACACCGTTGCCAAGCAACGCTTATTGTTTAGGTCCTTTTGATAAGCAGGCAGTCATATCATTAACTAGAACTAGCTAGATCTGATAGATTTGGACATAAAGGCGAGTGAAGTCTAACCGGACGCGAGAGAGAGATCCGATCAGCTGCTGCTGACGGAGAACACGCAGCTCTGCATGATCACAGCTCCGCCGCTGTGACGGACCGTTGAGCTGAGCAAAAATACACTAAGAGTTAGACCTAACACACTTAGCTAGTTTATCTACTCTGGAACTAGCTAAACTAGTTATAAATATATTTATTCTTTACTGTCGGGTCACTTATTACAGGTTCAGCGAGCTGCACGAGACTGACGGGCTGTCAGGAGAGGGAGAGGAAAAGAGAGCACCCCGTTTATTGTTCCCATTTTATTATCCAGAGTTTCTGTAAACCTTTGAAACAAAGTAGTTAATCTACTATTAGTAGTTTGTGTAAATGCATTAATGTTTTTTTTTTCATTAACATAAAAAAAATCTCACGTATCCCCTGCAGTACTCCAACGTACCCCTAGGGGTCCGCGTACCCCCATTTGAGAACCACTGATTTAGACGATTCAAATGGGATGATGTTTTTTGTCATGTTATTAGTCAAACCTTATAATGCAGTTCACTCACCAGGGGTTCGGGTCGTATCCGTGGTAACGTACAGAGCTTCCTGTGGTCGTCGAGCACCTCGAAGGTCATGAAGGCAGAGTTAATGTGTCGGTTGGGCCCCGCCTCATGGTAGGCTTCTGCTCGCACCCCCACCTCCATGCTGCAGCACCAGAGACACAGATCTTTAGAGTCTATATCTTAATACTGAGCTGGTGGTCTACTTTCTCTACATAAATCAGTCTAGATTCATCTCATCTGATCTCTTCTGTATGTTGCAGTAGGATTGTGATACCTGTTTTTGAAGGCGTTGTTGACGATGGCCCTCAGGAGCAGCCTGTCTCCCACCTGAGAGGGTCCTCTGAAGGTGAACATGTCGATGGTGCGCAGAGTCGGGTGAGCCTGACACAGACGGCTGCACCACAGAGAGAGGGGAGGAGAAACCTATAACCCTGGTGCAATCATGTGTGTGTGTGTGTGTGTGTGTGTGTGTGTGTGTGTGTGTGTGTGTGTGTGTGTGTGTGTGTCTACCTGGCAGCAATTGTAGCTACATTCACCATCCAGGCCATGATCTGTCCTCCAAATGTATTCACCTGGTAGTTAGATAAACAGACATTTAGATTTTTGATTTGATTTATTTCAAACGTGTAAAACAATAATACAAAAAATTATAATAATAATTAAATGAAACAAGAGAATTATGATACTCTACAAACTTAAGCAGTATCAAATTGACTTACAAATGATATATAAACAAATGATCTACCTAATTACACATCCGAAAATGAAATGATGATGCAGTCAACTTATGCCTACAGTCTATAATGGCAAAGCACTGAGGAAATATAGAGGAAGGGGCATTAAATCCTTTGAACAACATTTAGTAGACACTTTTAAGTGTCTTACAATACTGCAAATAAAATGAAGATACAAACTCAGAACAATAAACCTGTGTTGTATTAGATTTGTGCGCAATTGCACCAAACCAAAATGTTATATTGAAGCTAAAAAGACAAAAAAAACATATAACAAATGTCGGATTATAGTAGCATCAACAATAGTATACATTTCCAGAAAACAGACGGTAAAAGATGAGAGGCCCACAGAAAGATACACAAACAAACAGACAATAAATACAAAAATAACCTGATGGTTAGCATGGGGGGGTAGGACCAGCTGCAACACTCGCCACGGGGGTGCTGCGCTGCGGCCACCGCAGGACCGACGGACGGGGGGGCAAGCGAACAACACACACACACACAACACACACACACACACACACACACACAACCACACCAACACACACACACACAACACATCACACACACACACAACACACACACACACACACACACACACACACACACACACCACACAACACCACACACACATACACACACACACACACACACACACACACACACACACACACACACACACACACACACACACACACACACACACACACACACACACACACACACCACACACACACACACACACACACACACACACACACACACACACACACACACACACACCACACACACACACACACACACACACACACACACACACACACACACACACACACACACACACACACACACACACACACACTAACACACACACGTTAAATAAAATGCAATATTTAAAAGGATATGGTTTGTCTTATTATTTATTTTTTCCAAAGATCGTCAGTTTGCCGTGTTCATCATGATTCTTCCTAACTTCCCTCCTCTGTCTGTAGCACTGAACTCCTCCGCTAACAACGTAGCTCTTTAAAATCCGCCCTGATATCCATAGTTTATCTGCAGCTGCCCACTCTGTAGTGCGTTGTGTTGAGGAAGTGTGTATTTGTGGCAGCGGGGCGGGGTGTGTCTAAACAGATTTGCATGCCTTATTGCAAGCCCAGTGTTTCCAGAATGTGATACAATCTAAATTATTTGAAACATATTTCCTCCCTTCTTCAGGGTTTTTAAATCCTGTTCTCTGTATTTAGTCTCGTATTCTCCTTCAAAGTCTAAACCCACTGCAGTATCTCTATCAGGGGAACAGCTACCCTTAATGTGTTCTTCTGTATGTTGTGGTGTTTATCAAGCCTACCCTGCAGGACAGACCCGTGGGAGAGCAGATCTTTGATGATGTCATCGTGTAGCATCCTGACCCTGCGTCTCTCAGCCGCCACACTGTACTCCACCTGCTCCTTCTCAGTGTGAGGCACCACGGGCTTCAGGATCACCTGGGAGGACATGATGGTGAGGGTGTCTGCTTAGTGTTTGGAAAGTCTTTCAAAGTTTAAAAAAATGACATGAAAATCTGTGAATGAATTTTGCTTTTCAATAATGATTTTGAACAGTGTAGTCAGTGTTGTAGCAAGTTTCCACTGACAACATCACACACAATCCTGAAAGCCAAGAGGGTCATTAAAAAGGAATTTAGTAAAGAGTGGTTCAGGAATGAGTCCTTTAACCCAGAAAGGAGTCAGCTTTTTAGCACTTCTGTTTGTAGGTACTGTACATGTGTTGGATTAGATGCCTGAAATAAGGTATGTGGTTAACACAATATATTTGTATGTGTTGTGTGTCAGTAAATACACCCCTGGTGAATTTCTGGAGCTTCTATGTGTCCTAAAAATGGCGGTTGGAAACAAGTGACTAAATGATAATACTTAACGTCATTAGCCCCTTTAGCTTAGAGGTGGTGCTGCACAGCCATGAGGCCGTCGTTGACTTTGTTTATAGGCTGACGGTATAGCCTTACCTTTTTCCCTGTGTTTGAGCGCTGGGTAACAAAGGTGGCGAAGGCGTGACAGACCCTCCAGTGCCGATCAGAGAACAGATCCTCACAGCTGACCTGCACGTCCACCTGGCAGGACAGGAAACAGAATAATTCTACTTCTACAGCTGAAATCAGTTACCTTGGAGCTAGACAAGGCCTTTCAGTTCAAGTTTATATATAAATCCGAGCCGTCAGGGCCCTCTGAGAGCCTAAGATGCTCTACAAAATAATATTTAAAAACATAAAAAATATTTTTTTGTTATATTTTTACCAAAATAACTTGATTTAATTGTATTTAAAATAACATTTCCAAAGAAATAAATCCTTCGAATCTGCCTATTCAGTTTCTGTTTGAATGTGAAGGGTTAAATGAAAGAAGCTCCTTTAGCCGTCTCTGCTGTGAAGATAGGAGCTGATTGGCGGTCCTGCTGTAAATTCACAGAGGGCCCGCTATAGAGAGGCAAAGTCCCGCCCATCTACTTCCGCCCCATGAGACCTTATTTCTGAAAAATTATGTATTGAAGTCAATGGAGAGAGAAAACGTATCTTTCGATCCCGTTTGAATTGTGCCACGAATTACACACATAATGTTTGTCAATCTTAACAAATAATTTCCATGTCAAAAAAGTCACAATTTGTCGTAAAACTGTTGAAATATAAGACTATGAAAAATACACAACTGGAAAGACTACAAATCCCAGAATCCCGGTCCCGCATGCTGGCTCTTACGGAACCGACTAACTCCCCTTGTGTGTACTGTATGCACAGCTCTCAACGTGCCCAGACTTGGAGTGATTTTCACCTCTTTTAATACTTTCCGCCTCATTCTGAAAGAAAGAAGTGAAATGTTCCAACGTGACGGCCGTCTTGGTGTGTGGTGCGAGACGGGAGATGTAGTTCATTGAGCGGTTTCACACAAAAAAATTGTTACTTCACAGTTTTACGACACATTTTAATTTTTTTGACTTGCAAAATTATCTTTTAAATTGACAAACATCATATGTGTAATTCGTGGCACAATTCAAACGGGATCGAAAGATAATCTTTCTCTCGCCATTGACTTCAATACATACTTTTTCCGAAATAAGGTCCCATGGAGCTCCCCCGGAAAGGGAGGGACTTCGCCTCTCTATATTAACTGAACGAGAGAGTAATGTCAAATGACAGTACAATTGACCAATCATATCTTCCCTCTAAATGGGTGGGTTTTATTATCGCGGACTTTGTGACAAGTTCCGCCTGCTGTGAAGCTTTTCTTGTTACCGTAGTAACAACAACTTCCTGTCAACAACGTAAACTCACCTTCAAAATAAAAGCATATCCATACAAAATAGGAAGCCAAGCCAAATTACACTTAAGACATACTGCAACGAAAGTAACAAACAATGCAATATCCTTTTCAATTTCAAAGAACACAAATGTAGTTATTTACAAGTGTTGTTTTGTGTGGTATAAAAGTCACGGCTCGCCACTGTCCTCTAGTGATGGGAATTATGGCTCTTTGAAGGGAGCCGGATATTATGGCTCCGTTCCTTTCAAAGAGCCGTTCAAAAGAGACGTTTTCTTAGAGGGGGCGGGGTTACTAGGTTTATCTGCGAAATAATCACCAGGATAATGATTGACTGCATTGCCAGACCTAATGTCAATAATCTGCATTGTAAACATGAAACAAGGTGGTGCCATATCCATGTCATTCATGTCAGTGAATGTACTTTGAATTGACCCTCTGTACGTGTTAAGTAAATAAAGTTGCCTTGCCTTGAATGAAATTCACGCAACTCTTAATATTAGATACTGTGTTTTTAAGTGGCGATGGAGATTATTTGTTGACCCTGCTTTAAAGGATATTTTTCCTTTACAAATGGTGTGCTTTATCACTGCCTGGGTTTTGGTTGAAGTGTATCCAAATGCTGCTGCGTTTTCGCGTTTGGCTAATTTTCCATCCGAAAAACACGTCGTCTACCTGTCCTGTACCACTCGTTATGACTAGTGATGTGTCGGTCGCGAACGAGCCGATTTTTTTGAACGGCTCTTTGGTACGAACGAGGGGAACCGAGTCGTACTTGGTGAGAGCCGTTCTTTTAATCGTTCAATCGTCACAGAGCTAATGACATTAGTTACCATCAGCTAGCTTTGGACTTTTACTGTCATTCTACAACATAGGGTTGCACAACTAACTGCCGTTTTAATATCCTGATGCTACACGGGAACATAGCACTGACAGCCTGAGTCAGGTGGAATGACAGTACATACTTCTGAATTGCTTGCCAAATGTCAGCCTCTCAACAGGCTGGGGTGGGTATTGTAGAGGACAGTAGTGATGTGTCGGTCGCGAATGAGCCGATTCTTTTGAACGGCTCTTTGGTACGAACGAGGGGAACCGAGTCGTACTTGGTGAGAGCCGTTGTTATCATTAAATCGTTGGTCCGCACTCACTGCCTGCCAAAATCCACTCGCCTTTTAAAAAGCTTGATTTTGTTCCCCAAACGTATTCTGTGAAGACCCGCCCCTACTCTGATTGGTAGGTTTCAGCACGAGGAGTGAGATGGGGTGGGTCTTAACGGAATACGCGCGAGAGAGAGAAGTCATAACAAGTGGTACAGGACAGACAGACAACGTGTTTTTCGGATGGAAAATGAGCCAAACGCGAAAACGCAGCAGCATTTGGATACACTTCAACCAAAACCCAGGCAGTGATAAAGCGCACCATTTGTAAAGGCAAAATATCCTTTAAAGCAGGGTCAACAAATAATCTCCATCGCCACTTACAAACACAGTATCTAATATTAAGAGATGTGTGAATTTCATTCAAGGCAAGGCAACTTTATTTACCTAACACGTACAGAGGGTAAATTCAAAGTACATTCACTGACATGAATGACAGGGATATGGCGCCACCTTGTTTAATGTTGACAATGCCGATTATTGACATTAGGTCTGGCAATACAGTCAACCATTATCCTGGTGATTATTTTGCAGATAAACCTAGTAACCCCGCCCTGAACGGCTCTTTGAAAGGAACGGAGCCATAAGATCCGGCTCCCTTCAAAGAGCCATAATCCCCATCACTAGTTATGACTTCTCTCTCTCGCATATTCCGTTAAGCCCTTCCCCATCTCACTCCTCGTGCTGAAACCTACCAATCAGAGTAGGGGCGGGTCTTCACAGAATACGTGTGGGGAACAAAATCAAGCTTTTTAAAAGGCGAGTGGATTTTGGCAGGCAGTGAGTGCGGACCAACGATTGAATGATAACAAGAACGGCTCTCACCAAGTACGACTCGGTTCCCCTCGTTCGTACCAAAGAGCCGTTCAAAAGAATCGGCTCGTTCGCGACCGACACATCACTACTGTCCTCTACAATGTACTTCTACTTATGTGCAATATATATTTACTGTAAGTAGCTGTGCAATTTATACTACTAACTTGTTATACTTTCATCTGGCTGCTATATAGCTTGCAAATTAATTTGTAATTTCTAGTTTGTTATCTTTAATATTTTTGTTATGCTTGCTTCTTGAGTGACATATGAATATATTAAGCTACCTTTGGCTCTTTGCTGTAACAATCGTACATTTCTCCTCTGTGGGACGAATAAAGGTATTCTGATTCTGTTTCTATACTACAATTGTTGTTCATGTTTGTTTACAAAGCGTGATGCATTTTCTGACCTCCATGCTGGTGTTGAAGGCTCTGTTGACCTTCGCCTTGATGTTCACCACCTGACCCACACTGCACAGAGATGAAGGGGGAATGTATTTACAATATACACACAAACACACATGCACACAAACAATCTGAACACACACTTCCTGTTACCAGTGGTGGAATGTAACTGAGTACATTTACTCAAGTATTGTAACTTAGTTTAAATTAGAGGTACTTATACTTTACTTGAGTGTTTCCTTCACTACTGAAAGGGAAATATTGTACCTTTTACAACATTACATCCATCTAACAGCTTTAATTATCTTACAAATTCAGATGTTCGCATGTAAAGCTGTTTAATAATTGTGTTGAGTTTACAACATATTATATATTGATAGTTTATCAAATAGGAGGTTAAGTTATAAATTAAACTAGCCAATAGTTTACAAAATATTAGCTTTTTGAGAGAGTCAGACAAAATGTGTAATTATTATGTAAAAAATGATAAATAATAGTTTTGAGTGTTTTTGTAATTTATTTTAGATTGTTCTGCATTGGATACTCTTACATGTAATCCTTACAATCATTTTTTAATTCATTGCTTACTTTTATGAAATTGAATACTATACTTAATTCAGGACTTTTACTGGTAACCTAGTTTTCTTTACAGTGAGATTTTAGTACTTTTATTTAAGTAAAGCATCGTAATACTTCTTCCACCTCCGCCTGTTACCTGATGGTATGTTCAAAGTGGATGTCGTCCATGGATGCAGTGATGCAGGGACACCCAGCATGCCTTTCAGCTGCACATATCAAACACACACATGTGATCATGTTCTAAATGTCTAGTCAGTTCTTACGCAGACTGTGGACACAAAAAAAGGAAATAATTTCAACACAAACCACTTGACTAATATTTACTGAATCTATCTCTCTCAATTAAATTCAAAGGGGCTTTATTGGCATGAAAGTTAAATATAACAATGTTGCCAAAGCATCAAAATACAAAATAATTAACAACATTAACATACATTTCAAATGTTTACATATTATTGACCCCACTGCAGTCAGCATGTCGTTGTGTCCCTGAGACACTTCACCCCAAATTGCTCCTGTGGGGATTGCCCACTGTATTGAGTATGTAAGTCGCTTTGGATAAAAGCGTCTAACAAGTAACATGTAATTGAGACTGTGTATATATATATATATATATATATATTGAGATATATAGAGAGATATTGAGATATATATATATTGAGATATATATACAGTATATACTTAAAAGATGAAAGGCCTGTAATTTTTATCCTAGGTATACCTGAACTATGAGAGACAAAATGAGAAGAAAAAAAATCCAGAAATTCACATTGTCTGATTTTTAAAGAATTTATTTGCAAATTATGGTGGAAAATAAGTATTTGGTCAATAACAAAAGTTCATCTCAATACTTTGTTATATACCCTTTGTTGGCAATGACAGAGGTCAAACGTTTTCTGTAAGTCTTCACAAGGTTTTCACACACTGTTGCTGGTATTTTGGCCCATTCCTCCATGCAGATCTCCTCTAGAGCCGTGATGTTTTGGGGCTGTCGCTGGGCAACACAGACTTTCAACTCCCTCCAAAGATTTTCTATGGGGTTGAGATCTGGAGACTGGCTAGGCCACTCCAGGACCTTGAAATGCTTCTTACGAAGCCACTCCTTCGTTGCCCGGGCGGTGTGTTTGGGATCATTGTCATGCTGAAAGACCCAGCCACGTTTCATCTTCAATGCCCTTGCTGATGGAAGGAGGTTGTCACTCAAAATCTTACGATACATGGCCCCATTCATTCTTTCCTTTACACGGATCAGTCGTCCTGGTCCCTTTGCAGAACAACAGCCCCAAAGCATGATGTTTCCACCCCCATGCTTCACAGTAGGTATGGTGTTCTTTGGATGCAACTCAGCATTCTTTCTCCTCCAAACGCGTCTAGTTGAGTTTTTACCAAACATTTCTATTTTGGTTTCATCTGACCATATGACATTCTCCCAATCCTCTTCTGGATCATCTAAATGCTCTCTAGCAAACTTCAGACGGGCCTGGACATGTACTGGCTTAAGCAGGGGGACACGTCTGGCACTGCAGGATTTGAGTCCCTGGCGGCGTAGTGTGTTACTGATGGTAGCCTTTGTTACTTTGGTCCCAGCTCTCTGCAGGTCATTGACTAGGTCCCCCCGTGTGGTTCTGGGATTTTTGCTCACCGTTCTTGTGATCATTTTGACCCCACGGGGTGAGATCTTGCGTGGAGCCCCAGATCGAGGGAGATTATCAGTGGTCTTGTATGTCTTCCATTTTCTAATAATTGCTCCCACAGTTGATTTCTTCACACCAAGCTGCTAACCTATTGCAGATTCAGTCTTCCCAGCCTGGTGCAGGTCTACAATTTTGTTTCTGGTGTCCTTTGACAGCTCTTTGGTCTTGGCCATAGTGGAGTTTGGAGTGTGACTGTTTGAGGTTGTGGACAGGTGTCTTTTATACTGATAACGAGTTCAAACACGTGCCATTAATACAGTTAACAAGTGGAGGACAGAGGAGGCTCTTAAAGAAGAAGTTACAGGTCTGTGAGAGCCAGAAATCTTGTTTGTTTGTAGGTGACCAAATACTTATTTTACCAATTAATTCATTAAAAATCCTACAATGTGATTTCCTGGATTCTTTCCCCCCATTCTGTCTCTCATATTTGAAGTGTACCTAGGATGAAAATTACAGGCCTCTCATCTTTTTAAGTGGGAGAACTTGCACAATTGGTGGCTGACTAAATACTTTTTTGCCCCACTGTATATATACAGTGATACAATTACACTTCAACACACACGTGTGTGTGTGTGTGTGTGTGTGTGTGTGTGTGTGTGTTTCTTTGTGTCTGTGTGTGTGTGTTTCTTTGTATCTGTGTGTGTGTGTTTCTTTGTGTCTGTGTGTGTGTGTGTGTGTGTGTGTGTGTGTGTGTGTGTCATTCACTGTCCCTCAGGTTGTGGCATGTGTATACATATTGGGCAGCAAGATGTGCCTTGTCTCCTTCTCCGAGGAGTACTCTCAGTCTTGAGAGGTCATTAACCTCTCTCTCAGTCTTGAGAGGTCATTAACCTCTCTCCTCTCTCAGTCTTGAGAGGTCATTAACCTCTCTCCTCTCTCTTACGGCCCCTACACACGGCGGCGTGCGTTGCCGCTTCAACGCTTCTGCCCATTCACTTTGAATGGGGTGATGTCACGATTCGCCAAACTGCATTGTGGGAGCAAAGCGTAGCTTCTCTCGCGGTGCTCGCTGCAAAAGTTGAGCAATGTTCTACTTTTGACGCCTCGACGGAGGCGTCAGCCAATCGAATCATATGCCAGTACAAGCTCTAGCCAATCAAACCGCGTGCTTGTGTGTCTGGGGCGGGAGATTCAGGTGATTGGTTGTTGGACGAGTTTCAGCCCCCCCCACCGGCAAGCGACAACGCACGCCGCCGTGTGTAGGGGCCGTCAGTCTTGAGAGGTCATTAACCTCCTTGAAACCTGGGATTACAGAGTTCAACTTGTTCCAGTAAAGGCTCCTTACTTCGTTGAATGTTTTGGCACTTCAGGAGGAAGTGCATCTCTGTCTCAGTCTCACCTGTCGTACAGTGACCACATATTCTGTTCTCTTTTGGTAGCCAGGATATTTTGAGTCTTCCTGTTTCGATTGCCAGTTTGTGGTCACTGAGCCTGTACTTGGTTAGGATCTGTCTCTGCTTTCTGTCTCTGACATTAGAGAGATATTCTGCCAGCTCATACTCTCTGTTTAGAGCCAGGTAACATTCTAATCTACTTTGGCTTTTAGTTTCTTCTTTCCAATGTTGTAAATAGTTGTCTTTACATTGTGTTATAAGCCGTTTGACTGTGATTGGTGTTTGGAGAGCAGTGTTGTTGAGAGACTGGTCAGAGTGGCTCTGAGAGGGGGCAGCTAGCCTCAGCACCAGCTGA